ATATATAAGTCTTACTTCTTATTGTGGATTTTGGTTTCATAAGGCAAAAGTTTTTGAGATGTTGGTTCAGTTCATGTCTTCAAGTTCTGGATGTAAAGTATAGTCTCTCTCCATGCTACACATTACTATGCCAGTGGCGTTTATGAATTCCATATGTATAATTGCAGTATTACTATCTAAATTATACTGTAAACTCATGGAATATTCACATTACATATTACAAAATATGCAGTAAGTGAGCACTGTCTGAATTCAGAATGACATTACTCTAATTCTGTAGTGTTTTATTGTTAACTAAATTAAAGCTCAAATTAAATATCAACATATATATATATATATATATATATATATAAATTATATGTATCAAATATATTTATACACACAGTACCATATTTTACCTTTATAAATTATGAAATGTATTGAATAAAAAAATACATGCGTTAATATATGTGTGTCCAAAATATGAAAATTAGCAATTCCTTATGTATCATTATTGTAATACACTAAGACAAACACTAGATACCATTCTGTATATTTTTAATACACATTGAATTATTGAATATACTGATAATTCATATAGGCTATAGGAAATTTATTAATTTACTCTTGCAAATCACACAAGGGCTTGTACAGCTGATTCCATTAGAGATAATTGGCAATAATTGGCATGTTGCTAAGCTAACAAAATGATGGCCTAACATAAATAGTATCTAATAGTATCTAAAGATGTCTAGCAAATGAAAGACTGGGTAAAATAGTAATTTTACCATTTAGTAATTATTGAAATGTATTTGTAATCTGCATTTTTGTCTACGTTCAATCATTTTTTTTCACTGAGCTTGTTGCATTTTGACACATGGACACATTTTGAAAGGACACATGATCCTGCGTAGTGTTTTTAGTTAAAAAGCAATATCTGAAAAGTGTAAAGATCCTCCTTTGCTTATAAGCATACAACGATGTCTACTATATAGGTAGCTCAGATGCATTTGGAACAGACCTCATAAACGGTAAGTTAGTATTCCAGTCGTTCCCAGAGACTGTTTTTGTGGACTCAACAGGGCTATGATTCATGTCCCTCAGTTGAAAGGCTGGACAAAAAGCCTGACGATTTCATTTATCACACAAACACAACACCCCAACCCCACGGCCCTTCTGCGGGCATTTCTACTCACTCAACGTAATTATTTCACTTATCATTTCAAAAGACTGCTTCTGGCCTCCATCGCCATTCATACCACAACAGCCAAAGAGCCAACTGCCATTAACTGCTGTGATTCAGCCTCAGATTCATTTAAAACTCCATTTAAAAAGCAGTGAGTGGAATTCTAAAGAACCGATAGTGACAAGAGAAAGGGATAGAAAGCTTCAAGGCACAAAACTCTGTCACTAAATCCATTATGGTGAACTGGCTGTGTGCAGACCCTAACCAGACTGCAGTTCTCCAAACATCCTGTGCACTTTAAAGAGTATGTTTGCATTAAAAAAGTTGCTACGTAAAAATTAAAAACATAATGGCTTGTGAACTCTGAAGTAACCTTAGATTTCAGTAAACTGAAAACCCAAACGTTATCTAATCTATTTTAGAGAGAGAGAGAGAGAGAGAGAGAGAGAGAGAGAGAGAGAGAGAGAGACCAATTTCGTGCCAGTCACCTTCAAATAAGTACACTAGTGACCTCTTGTGGCTGTACTGAGGAATGTAAATGACCAATACCAGCACTGTAGTAAATAATTTTATCCATTAAGACTAGTCTTTAATCACCAAAATTACATATTTAAACGTTTTTTTCCTGTGAGAATAGCTTGAATGTAACTCTACCGCCATGAATATGCAAATTAGCCCCGCCTCTTCAATCGGCCAAATTATAATTAAGGTAAACGCGGCACAGTGGTATCGCTCTTTACAACGTCGGACACATTATGGTAATTAATACGAGTAGCCTTTTGCTTGAAAGGCTAGTGGAGAAAAGCATATTTGACCATATCATACACACACTATATTGCTAAACCTATACCCAATTTTTCATATCAACAGTTAATATACGGGGATTAGGCCTACCTGGCTTCTCTTGACCCCTGGTTCGCAGCATTGCTAATGGGAGCTAAAGCACGCTGCAGATTGATGTGATTGGTTACAAGTTGGTTTGTGACGTCAGAAACGCCAGTGATTTCAAAACGCGTTTTAAAACTGGGTGCTTCTCAATATCCCTCCTCGTCTCCTCGCTCCTCCGTCCTCCCTCCTATGACCCGGAAACCGATCGAGCTCAGCCATCTTGAAGGACATCTCAATTCTCTAATTGCACCGTGAGGAGTCGAGGATCGAGGAGATAGGAGGCTTCCTGAGGAGTCATAAGCGAGGATACACAGGTGCATCCTACGCGGAACCGTTATATTGACTAAACGTGACGCACGTGTCAATTCTCCTCCCACTTTACATCGGTCACAATCATTTTAATTTATACTTTACCTTTGCAGTTTATATAAACCACACATCTCAGATATTTCAACAGTATAGCCTATCTTTATTATTATTTATTATGAATTTATTAAATAACCAAACTTCAACATCATAAGGGCAGATCCTTTTAGCGCTGCTGATGACACTGTGGAGAGACGCTCGAGTGATCAAGTACTCCAATGTATATAAAAAAGCTTTTATTCGATTCCTCTGTCCTCCTTTCCTTTCCTCGCTTCCTTCCCTCGCGTCCTACAGGGGGTGGAGCTGAGACGCAAGGAAAGGAAACAAGGAAAGGAAACGAGGATGCACAAATAAGAAATGAGAAGCACCCACTGTCTTCAGATTACTGCAGTTTTAAAGGGACAATACTCAGCAATGGTCAAGAGCTCAGGCCCAGACCTAATCCTCTCAATAACTAAATCCAGTTGAAGACAAAAATCCAAGAACCATTTTTTTTTTTTTGGTCAATTGTAAAGAAATTTTCAGTAAAATATAAAGAAAGCTTTGTTTTAACACTGAATAAAAAATTATATGATCAATAAGTTGTGACAAAATAAGTTTTTACATTGCTTTAACTCTTGAAAATAAGTTTCTACTTTTTAGTCAGTTTAATGTAATTAAAGAAGAAATGACTTAAACCTCCAAGTTGATTGTAGCCTACCTAAAAAAAATAAGGCAGCAACTTTTTTTTTTTTTTTTTTTTTTTTTTTTACATTAAAGACTCAAAGACAAATAAATGAGTCCCAGGCCTTTAGACCAAAGTTAGAATTTTAAGACCAAAATCATAACAGTAAGACTCCAAATGATGATCATGCAAAACACTAAATTTACTTAACCAATCTTTTATTTTTTCCTATATATTTTTATCCTATATTAATAAAATATTTTCTTTCACAAGTAATTATTTTGAGTTTGTGGGGCACAAGAGCACACATTTACATTGCATATACTTTACATCATTCTTTCACCTGCAAATATTGTCACCTAGGCTTTTATTATTATTTTTTTATTTATTTATTTATTTTTACAGTGAATCAACATGTCTTTTGGTTTATTTAGCTTGTGTTTGTACATTCTCCTTCCATTACTAGAACCTCATTTTCATTAAAACACTTTCCCCAGATTTCACAGACAAGGTCTAGTCCCAGACTAAAATGCATGTTTGAGCTGCTTTAACTGAAAGCAACTTTTTGTGTCAAATTTAATGACAGTGCCATTGTTTTGTCTCAAGATTGACACCAGTAATATTTTTGTATGCGGCATGTCAATAAAAGCTATTTAAATGTCCTAATTGAACTAATCCTGGCTTAGTCTAGCCCTGTCTGTGAAACCAGGCCTATTTCTATATAAACAGCCACTTATCTCAGTTCATCCCAGAGTTTGTTTGCATCCTTCATCTGACAGCTCTGTTTCTCCTGTAGTTACGCCCAAAGGACACAGTAATCTTAGCTCAAAGCTCTTCCTTGCAGACAGCAACCAGACCTGTCCGTCTCTTCCATATCTCTCTTATGCGTTAAACAACCAAAGTAACTAATACGAATGTGAAACTGACATCAGATTAAAATGTTCTTCTCCTCATAGACAATAAAACACATTTAATTTATAAACTCTTGTACTTTGGAAACATTTTATTTATTCATCATAGCTTTTGACTGCAATGGTCGGAAAGGAGACAAATGTTGCTTTGAACTGATAAGCTTTTCGTCAGTGCTTAGTTATAAACTTTACAAAACTTCAGCAGTTTATGTCCTTTGGACATCTTAATCATTATTGGTCAAAGTGGAGTTTTCCCACTGATTTCTTTACACAACACACTCACACATTACTCAGCAATACCAGCTACATTCATTTAATAGATGCCGTGCATATATCCAGACAGACATCCATGCAACGCGTGTAGGGGTCTTTCATTATTTCCTTCAGTTGATCAAATTCTAGTTGGTTCAAGCATATTTCAAGCACACAGGGGGAAAAAGACTGAGCATGCCCAGATGAGGCCGGAGATGACAATGTAATTGGGAGATTCAGATTCATTTGGCAGATTTTTGAGCTTTCTGTGCCGATTTAGTCACTTTCCCACTGCCGCCGATCTTCTTTTCCACGCTTTTAATGACACCGACTGCAACAGTCTGTCTCATATCTCTGACAGCAAAACGTCCTAGGACAACACAAAAACAAAAAACTTTAATGAAAATTGATGAAAGGCCTTGTGGTGTGCATGCGTGAGCTGACTTAAGACTTCAACCCAATCACAGCCATCTATCAGGATTGTGCCTTACAGAAACAAGATATGCTATAAGATTTTAGGGGGAAAAAATAACGAGAACAAGATGCAATAAATATGATATCGCAGCAGGTCAAAAGTGATGCGAGACGGTATTATGAAACAAGGCTAATAGCCAGTTTCTGTGGAATTGCAGAATCAAAGGAAATGTAATCCAGAGAGAGAAACATGAACATCATGAACTCACCGAGAGGCTCACATCACTGATGAGTCCGACCTTTAACCTGACAACAATTGCAGTAAATCTCATTAATCATGAGACTGAGTGACCAACGCTAATGTAAGCCTGAGACGCCAACTCCAAATAAGTATGACAAACCTAAATACAGTTTGCTTGTTGCTTTAACAAAAATGGATCATGTATTTTTTATAAAGCCCTCCGATATAGAAATTGCTTTACGGGTCATGGGAAAACTCTAAAAACATCAAGGAACTATTAAGGAACATCAAGGAACTGTTTTATTATCTCTCCTCATTATTATGTGCAGAATTAATACAAATTGCACCAGCCGTTTTAAATGACGTTTTTTTTTTATGTTAAAATAACTTATTCAATCCGTTCTTTGACTTACGTTTTTTTTTTTTTGTAGCTGTTACATTCCTCAGTTAAGCTAATCTCCATTAATATTTTCAACCCCATCTATCGTATCATGATTATAATAAAGCAGCCCCAGAAATATACTCATATTGTTAGAAATGCTGAAAAATACAAAAAGTAAGCAAAGCAAAACCAACCATAAAAGAATAAACCTATGGGGTGGTGATGGCGCAGTGCCTTTGGTGTGAGAGACCCGGGTTTGAATCCTCCTGAGTAAAACACTTAACCCCTAGTTGCTCCAGAGGCGTGCAACCTCTGACATATATAGCAATTGTAAGTCGCTTTGTATAAAAAGTGTCAGCTAAATGAATAAAAACGTTAAAAAAATGCAAACAAATAAATTAAAAGCAAAACAAAAATAAAGACAGTAGGAAAGCTAAGGAAAACAAATCAAAAATGCTAAACAAAAAGCAAAGCAAAATATCAAAGAAACTAAAAGAAACACAAAACTACTGACAGATAAACTAAAACAAAAAGAAAGCAGAGCAAAACAAATCATAAAAGCAAAATATCAAAGAAACTAAAAGAAACACAAAACTACTGACAGATAAACTAAAACAAAAAGAAAGCAGAGCAAAACAAATCATAAAAGCAAAACATCAAAGAAACTAAAAGAAACACAAAACTACTGACAGATAAACTAAAACAAAAAGAAAGCAAAGGAAAACAAATCATAAAAGCAAAATATCAAAGAAACTAAAAGAAACACAAAACTACAGACAGATAAACTAAAACAAAAAGAAAGCAAAGGAAAACAAATCATAAAAGCAAAACATCAAAGAAACTAAAAGAAACACAAAACTACTGACAGATAAACTAAAACAAAAAGAAAGCAGAGCAAAACAAATCATAAAAGCAAAATATCAAAGAAACTAAAAGAAACACAAAACTACTGACAGATAAACTAAAACAAAAAGAAAGCAGAGCAAAACAAATCATAAAAGCAAAACATCAAAGAAACTAAAAGAAACACAAAACTACTGACAGATAAACTAAAACAAAAAGAAAGCAGAGCAAAACAAATCATAAAAGCAAAATATCAAAGAAACTAAAAGAAACACAAAACTACTGACAGATAAACTAAAACAAAAAGAAAGCAGAGCAAAACAAATCATAAAAGCAAAACATCAAAGAAACTAAAAGAAACACAAAACTACTGACAGATAAACTAAAACAAAAAGAAAGCAAAGGAAAACAAATCATAAAAGCTAAACAAAACATGAAAGCAAGCAAAACAAAAGCAAAGCAAAACATCAAAGAAAACAAAAGCAAAGCACCGGACACGTACCCAGTGGAGGATACTGGGAGAAGCTCTCAACACACATTGGTTTTCCTGGGATCATTTCCACAATGGCGGCATCTCCAGACTTCAGGTTTTTGGGGTTGTCTTCCAGCTTCTTGCCTGAACGGCGATCAATCTTCTCCTTAAGCTCAGCGAACTTACAGGCAATGTGAGCGGTGTGACAGTCTATGACAGGAGAGTAACCTGCACTGATTTGACCTGGGTGATTCAAAATGATCACCTAATAAAGAGAAAGAGAAGGGGGAACAAAAATCTAGATATCAAAAAGTATATAAACAAACAAGCTGACAAAGAGTGTTGCCCACCTGTGCTGTAAACCCTGATGCTTCCTGGGGCGGGTCTGACTTACTATCCCCACACACGTTACCTCTACGTATGTCTTTTACAGACACGTTCTTCACATTAAAGCCCACATTGTCTCCCGGCAGAGCTTCGTTCAGAGACTCATGATGCATTTCTACCGACTTCACCTCTGTAGTGATGTTGACTGGGGCAAAGGTCACCACCATACTTGGCCGCATGATACCCGTCTCCACCCTGCCCACCGGGACGGTCCCTATACCTGAGGAGAAAAGACATCTTTGAATAAGCATGTTCTGAAAACACAATGTAGCAAGCCACAAAAGCTTTCCAAACTCAAAATATAACCACAAGCTCATCTTAAAAATGACATCACCCCATAAAATGTGGTTTTGATTTGAGTGGGTTAATCCCACCTCCGATCTTGTAGACGTCTTGTAGGGGTAGACGTAAGGGTTTGTCAGTGGGGCGTGTTGGAGGCATGATGGTATCGAGAGCTTCCAGTAAAGTAACGCCACTGGCATGTTGCTCCTTCCTGTCCAGCTTCCAGCCTTTAAACCACGGCATCTGCACAGCAAATGAGACGATTTTATTAATCAAATCGCTAGCATTCTGCCAAGAGTTTAATTGAAAAGTGCTGTATGGTATGTAGTCTTTGTAGAAAACAAACACACACATGCCAAGGTGACTCACATTAGAGGACGATTCCAGCATGTTGTCGCCATGCCAGCCTGAAATCGGGACGAAGGGTACGGAGGCTGGGCTGTAACCGATCTTTTTTATGTAGGCACTGACTTCTTTTACAATCTCATCATAGCGCTTCTCACTGTAGGACGGCTCAGTGGAGTCCATCTTGTTGACGGCTACAATCAGCTGCTTGACGCCCAGTGTGTAGGCCAGCAGGGCGTGTTCCCTCGTTTGCCCATTTTTAGAGATGCCCGCCTCAAATTCACCCACTCCAGCTGCAACAATTAGAACAGCACAATCTGCCTGGGAGAGAAAGGATGAGATCCACAGTAAACTTTTGCATGGATCACAGTCTACAAGCATAGTTCACCTACAAATGAAAATTCCCATCCAAACCCATTTTTCATCATATTTGGCATATGTAGAATTTTGGAGAATCTATGCATTAGGTAGGGATGTTCTCACCAAGCATCACTATTCTTGTAATTGAGTCAGAACCATCACTACCTGAGATGTCCCAGTGATCATGTTCTTGATGAAGTCTCTGTGTCCTGGAGCATCTATTATAGTAATGTAGTACTTGGTGGTCTCAAACTTCCAGAGTGAGATGTCTATGGTAATTCCTCTCTCCCTCTCTGCCTTTAACTTGTCCAGAACCCAGGCGTACTTGAAGGAACCTTTTCCCATCTGCCAAAACAAAAATATGTGAGGGTAAAGTGGTTGCAGGGAGGAGATGATATAAAACATGAAGCTTATTCAATATCTATTAGAGGTTTATTTCCAGTGCCTGGTATACTGGAAATCCGGTAACTTGTTTTTCCTCTGAAGTGCTCATTGTAACCCCATGAAAGCTCATTGTGCTTATTCCAGGGTTATCATTGCTCTAAACCCTGCTTTTTACCCCAAGTAGAGAAACATTTCACTCTTCTAACCTGTGAACCCTGAACTGTTAATTGGAAGGTTTTAGGTTCAAATCTTGCTAATGGTCTTACATTATGCCTCAATATTGTGCCCTTGAGCTTGGCACTTACGCCAGAGATCTATCCCAATAATAAATCACGTAACAATTTTCACAACGGAAGGTTGTAGGTTTAAGTCACATGCCTCAACATTGTGTCATTCAGTAATTCACCTACTCCAGCTGACTGTCCTTGTAGTCTCTTAATTTTGACAACAGAAGGTTGTAGGTTTAAATCCCATAAGGGTCCATACGTTTTGCCTCAACATTGGAGATGGTCCTCACTGCAGAACACGAAATCCAGGAGGAGGAGTTGGATCCACCTTACATATACCTACCTACCCATCTCCGCCCCCTGATCCCTAACCCCCATCCTAATCCTACCCATTTCCACCCCTTAGATCTGGATCCAACTCCTCCCCCTGGATCTTGAGTAGTGCAATGAGATGCAACTGAAACATTAGCCGCTTTCCGACCAAGTAGTTATAGGAACTGTCCACTTCTAAACAATTCTAAGAACTACTCTCCCCCAAACTCGGTTTTGCTGCTTGCGACAGCGAAGTTGAAGTGCTGTTTTGCACAGCGTATGGCAGACAGCGCGCTACAAGTTCCGTGTTGACAGTGGGCGTGACTTATAAGTTTAACCAATCAACATAGACCTAGGGAAAGGGAACTAAAAAAGTCCTTGCTCTAGACTAGGTACTGGAAGAGTTATAGGAACTACTGTCTAAGGAACTAAAAAAATTTCCCAGTTTAGTCCGGTCAGAACACGAGAAAAAAAGGGTTACAGGAACGTTAGGTTGTAGGAACTGAAAAAAAAAAAATCGCTCGGAAAGCGGCTATTGTGCCATTCTGACTGTCCTTGCAATAAGTTTCTTTACAATTTTAACAACTGGAATGTAATTTCAAATCCCAGAATGGTCCATACTTTGTGCCCCTGAGCAAGGTACTTGCTCCAGACAACTCTCAAACTTAAAAATTGTTCAACAGTTTTCACAACAATCCAACACAGTCCTGCTCTGAAAAGGAAGCTTGTAGGTCAGGGATGGGCAACTTTGGTCCTGGGGGTCCACAGATCTGCAACGTTTAGTTTCATCCCTAATCAAACACTCCTGCCAATAAATTTAAAGCAATGATGAAGATATAGATTACAATATTCAGGCGTGTTTGATGATAAATGGAGCTAAACTTCTCAGGACAGAGGCCCTCCAGGACCAGAGTTGCCCATTCTTGTTGTACTGTAGGTAAAAACCCATCCTGAGGGTGATGTTCAGTCAAGGTCACTAAAGCACCTAATCTTTGGTAAACCTATAACAGGCTTCTCTGCGCCTACATAGTGTTGTACCCCCTACGTTTTGCTCAAAGACAGAGGTGAGGTGTCAGACCCATTGGATTTACGTTGATCAGTGTTTATCACTTTACCAACTTGACTCCACTAGTGCCCCTTTCACACAGCGCGTTGATCCCGGGAAATTGCCAGAACGCCTTCTGTGTGAACGCAAACACGACCCGGGATTGATCCCGGCATCGATGCCGGGTTGGGGACCTAGTAACATTGCCGGAATCAGTTCCAGAACGTGCGCTGTGTAAACAAAATCCAGGACCAACGCCATAAGGGGTGTGTCATAGTGATGACGCTCGTGCCATCGCGCTACTGTCTTGCTTTTTGAAGAAAGTTTGTGTTCGTCATCATCAAAGAAACTACGAACAAATGTCTACGAACAAACTGGAACGAAGCAGAGACCAGGAGCTCCTCTCTATCTGCGCTGATGCTGAGATCGTTCACCAGTTGTGGAACGGTATGCACGTGTATGTTTTCGATGCGTGCGTTACACGTCTCGTCCTGACGTCATTTTTTTTTTCCGCACTCACAGATCCCGGCAAATCACTGGCAGTGTGAATGAGCCGAAATCAAACAATCCCGGGACAATTGCCGGGTCACATTATCCGTTTATTTTCCGGAATCTCTGTGTGAAAGGGGCTTAGAACACCAAAGTCAAATTCCTGTAAAAAACTCTGCTCACCTACCTCAGCAGCCTCTTTTTCAAACTTCTCAATAGTTCTTTTATCAATTCCTCCACATTTATAGATGAGATGGCCAGTGGTGGTTGACTTTCCAGAATCAACATGGCCGATGACCACAATGTTGATGTGGATCTTCTCTTTTCCCATGATGACACAGGGCAGGAAGAAAGGATGGGAACGGGTGGAGCTCTCTTCTGTCTACAGCCGTAGCAAGCGAGGCAAAGAACATTTGTACACAAAGACACAAACATGTACTTTCATCCTGGAACACAATTTAGTATAAGACAGTCTTCAAAGCAAAGCCATTCAAGGTAATTTCTGACCAATAACATATGACTGATGACCAAGAGATAACCTTGCAAAATTACAATCACAAAACATTTGTGCAGAATACGCAAATAACTTTCAGGCTTCTTGTCAAAAACAGAGGGTAGCTTCACTGCTAAAGACAAACTGGGGACTCATGCGCAACTATCACAAAAGCCAACAGTCTTTGATGCTGAAAGAAACAACATTAAATTAAGATGCAGGGGTATGCTTACTTTTGAACAGAATGTGTCAATTTGTCTTGATTACATATATCAAATGACAAGTAAACATCATGTCAAATAGCTTCATCAGGGAAGTACATAATAAAAACACAGAACAGAACAAAAGCTGTCATCTGTTATTAGTTAAAGTCTATCAGCAGGAAGATGTCTGTGGCCTCTTACCTGCAGTTGACAGACAGACCTTGTTCTCCCCTCAGCAAACTGACAGTGTCTGTGTGCTCCTGCAAAGGTGGCGGCACAGTCCAAATCCGTGTGCGTAATCAACTCACCCCACTTTGATACAGCAATGCGGCACTCAAAGTGGGGGGGAGGCTGGTGGTGATGAGGGACTGCAGTGAGACAGCTGCAACAGCAGCAGAAACAAGCTGAGAGGAAGAGTAGGAGAGATGGAGGAGGAACACAGTGGCATAGAGCTGTGTTCAGTGACTCAGCATGATCTCCTCAGTTATCTCCTGCCGGAGAAGAATCGGATTGGTTTGCTGTGTGGGTCGGATTGTGCGTCTGAAATATGAAGTGTCAATACAAATTCGTAATATCATTTTGACATTATTTATTAACAGGTTATTCTAGACGGAACACAATTTAAACGATTTCAATGATTAGTTAGAACAACATTATTCCTATGGTAATTTTCTACTAAACCTCATTCATCTATGAATTATATTATTATGCTCATTTTGAACAGGTACTTTAATTTGACGTGCATTTTGGTCATCTGAAAACAGCAGATCACAGTAGAAAACATTTTGATTAAGTTTACTCTCTTCGACTTCATTTTGCCATTTCTACAGACCACGATCCTTCAGAAATGATAATTTGATGCTTAAGAAACATTTTTTATTATTATCAATTTTGAAAACAGTTGCACTGCTTAAAGGAGTAGTTCACTTTTTTTTAAAAAAACAACTTTTGCTGATAATTTACTCACCCCCATGTCATCCAAGATATCCATATTATTCTTTCTTCAGTTGAAAAGAAATTAAGGTTTTTGATGAAAACATTCCAGGATTTTTCTCCATATAATGGGAACCAAACGGTTCAAGGTCCAAAAGACAGTTTCAGTACAAACTGCAAACTGTTCAAAGGGCTTCAAACGATTCCAGACGATGAATAAGGGTCGTATCAAGCGAAACGATCACTCATTTTTTTAAAAAGAAGTAAAGTTTATGTTTTATAAGCTCAAATGGTCGCCTTGCTCTGTTCTGTGATGCGCATTTGTGACTCTACTATTCAAACTCGTTTATCAAAATGAACGAATCTTTTTTCGTGTCATTTGGTTCATTCAACAAACAAAATGAACGAGTTGACTCGGGAAAAGATTCGTTGATTTTGATGAACAGGAGAGTCACAAACGCGCATCACAGAACAGTGCAAGGCGAGCATTTGAGCTTATAAAACGTAAACTTTACGTTTTTTTTTTTTAATGAGCGATCGTTTCGCTTGATAAGACCCTTATTCTTTGTCTGGAATCGTTTAAAGCCGTTTGAACAGAAAAAATCCTGGAATGTTTTCATCAAAAACCAGAAAGAAACTTGTGTGGCATCACGAGTTAAGATTTTTTTTTCTATATGGCTCAGGCTGAGAAACGGGAATTAAGAATTCAAATCAGACCAACATTGTTCAGACAAATATTTAATCAGGGACAAACTCCTGATGCGCTCAACACACATACGGTCAAATAATTCAATCAAGCATGACTCAGAAACAGTGTATATCCAGAACTATTTCCAAAGCATTTGATCGATGACCGTCTAATAGAATAAGCTTATTTCTTACAGTTAATAACAGACGTTTAGCTCAACTTATTTGCAGTGCAAGTCCTAATACATCACAAAACAAACTAGTTGATTCTCAGTCCATCTCAAAAACACGTTGGCTTGGACAAAAATAAAATAAAGCGACCACTTAAAAATTCCCAGAAACGTTTTTTCTTTTCCCTTAAAAAAAAAAAGTTGCTTGTTTCCAAACTCAGCAGAGGAAAGCTTATTAGTTTATCATACTCTCCCCATCGGTCTAGTCTGATCCTGTCCTTCCTCTATATTTCTGCCGTCTCCGTCTGTGAACAGCTCAGAACACTTAAAGCACAGGAACGCCTCGCAGTGAACCCCTGGACTGCAGATAACGCACACGAACATACCACATCCCCTGCAGGTCATGTCATTTCACGTTGACTCTAGCGCGACCGATATTAGCTACGCCTTTCTCAGTCACTTCTTTTCAAACATCTGACGCCCAAGTCCTCCTGCTGCAAGCTGCGGCTACGTCCTGCGGCGCTTGGCTCCTCCAGGGCTGGAGGGGTTGCTGGAGTTCATCACCTTCTCCACGGCTCGGCTCCTCTTTCTCTTTTCCCCGGCTGATTCTTTCGACCCGCCGCCCGTCTCACCGGAGCCCCCCCTCTCGGCCCGCTCTCTCTCTTTCTCGCGCCCGCTGCCCGACCTCTCCGACATCTTCACGGAGGAATTGCTGCCTGACGAAGGGAGAAGGGAAGGATGAAACGGGAAAAAAAAAGGGTGGGATATTGGAACACAAAGAAAAACAGATTAAGAACACAATAATACTAAATAAAATAAAAAAACACTTTGTGTCCTCGTAACACGTCACATGTACTTTGATTTAACAGTGAATTATGCATAATAACATGCAGCCAATCTCTAAACCAATCTCGAACCCTACAAAAAGTGCATGTAGTTAATCATTTTTACTAAGTACTTAAATGTAATTACACTGTAGTAAGGACACCTTAAAATAAAGTGAAACAAGTTTTCAATTTTCTATCCTAATTAAAAAGTGTTGTGTGTAATTTCTGCACCATTAGACTACACTAAATGAAGCCTGACATTAGTTTAACCAAAGCAGAACACGTTTGTCCAAACAATGATAGACAGAGAGAAAACTGAAAACTGCAGAAAAGCATTAATTTTTCAATAGAGTTTGGTGATGCTAGTGGCACAGAAATGACACACTTCAACTTCATTTTCTAGTTTGGAAAAATCACATTTCTCTAATCTAAAAATGCAATCCCAGAATGCAATGAGCTCTGTGAAAATCAAACGAAGAAAAAAAAAAAAAATGGTAATGGTAATGGTTTTATTCCCATTCAAAATTTTACCCTATACTGTTTTGTGCCCATTCACGCCGTATCATAATTAATGCAATTATCAATCTGTTGGTGTTTTAAATAAGTGATCAAATCCATGGATCTTGTGGATATATGGAGATTACTTAACCCGACTGCTCGTGATTATTCTTTGTTTCCCCATGTTTATGAATCCTATACACGTATTCATTACTTTATTGGCTCCAAACTCATTCAGGGGGTGACAAAATATCATAATATTGTAATTTCTGATCGTAGCCCTATTTCTATGGGCCTGAAAAGTTTGCTACCAAGAGAGGAGTATCGTTGGCATTACAATCTTAAATAATTAATGAATAAACAGTTTCAGTTTTATATGTTTAAGCCAATTTTTGGAGACTAACGACAAAAGGGATGTTTCGGACTCTTGCCTGTGGGAAACCTAAAGTAGTGTTAAGAGGTCATATTGCATATGAATAATCGTTTCTGGCTCTTTTTCTGGTTATTATGTTAATTCGACGCGTTCTCATCCTTTAGCGTCATATAGAACGCTATATGACAAAACGCCGCTATACTACACACATGGCACCCGTTATCGTTAATATAACACGCGCTGTGAGGGCTAAGTTTAGGTGTGGGGTAGGGTCTGCGTGTCATATTCACGCTAAAGGATTTATGACATCTTGGGTTTGCGTGTTATATTAACGATAAAGGGTGCCATGTGCGTAGTATAGCGCCGTTTTGTCATATAGCGTTTTATGTGACGCTAAAGGATGAGAACAGGCTGGTTAATTGGGATAATAGTGTATTTATGCCCTTGGTTAAAGGACTGGTTGAACAAAATTGTTTAATTATTTAGGGTTAGTCTTTCCAAAAAATGTTAAACATATTTGCAGTGAAAATTTCAGAAGTCATAAATAAGCCTAAAATTGATAAATGGAGGGTTCTTCTGTTATCTTTAAATGCTACTAAATGGTCTCTTTGCCTCGCTTTATCTTTTTCAGAGCCTGCCTATACTGTATATTTGCCATTTATTTAGGGCTATAAAGCACATAGAATTTCTAAGGCCCATTTGTAGAAGCCGAAAGAGTTGGGTGGTCTAGCGGTACCGGTTTTCAGTCATTATTATTGGTCTACTAATGCCAGGGCTAAGATGTTCTGGCGGATTAGCGATCAAGCTGCCGATAACTTGACGGACACTCATCCCAAGTGGCTGTAAATGGTCAGTCATTCGGTAGCTCCTAAGCTGCTCTAACCCTGTATCTTACATTGAAGACATGTTGAAAATGACCCGTCCTTTTGCTCCAGCCCATTTGTGATAATCAATTTCTTTGATTGGCAAGTCGGATTAGGGGGTCTGACCAAGGTTAAGGACTTTTTTAATAAATGGGAAAATTTTCCACTTTTGAACACTTGTATAAAACCTTTGACACTTCCCTATCACAATTTTTCCGATATCTACCGGTGCACCACTACATAAAACATTCTTTTACTGAGTTTCAGGAGTTGCCTCGGGATCATTATATAAATGATCTTTTGGGTCAATCCCCTATACGACCAAACATTTGGTGACGTGGTTTGTTTCTTATTTTGAAGTGTCTTCAGATCACCCTCAAAGTTGCATGGGAAAATTATACTGGAATTAATATCTCAGAAAAAGATTTGGGAAGAAGGACTGAAGCGAATTCAGATCTGCTCTATTAATGAAAGATTACAACTTATACAGTTTAAAGTATTGAATGGGTTAGACTATACCAAAAATAAACCCTTCAGTTTCCCTATTATGTGATAGATGCAAGAGCTCTGATGGGACATATGCTCATACTTTTTGTTTGAGATTTCTGAGTTTTGGAAGAATATTTTTCAGTGGTACTCAAATGTTTTTGCAGAAGATATCAGTCCAGCTAGCTTTGATTGGATGTTCTGAACCTTTATATGACCCTAACCCTATACACTCTTTTATGAGACAATCTGTTTATTGTTTGTATATAAATGTAAAAAAATATATACATATAAAAAACAAATTTGCCACTGGAGTTAGTCTTTTTGAGTGTTTTCATACGATGTTGTAGGGGTCATGTGATGTAAATGACGTGACGTCAGAATTTTGTAATTACGAGTGTGCAACATGGTGTGAACGCACCTCATGCTAATTAGCTTCTTGTGTTGTTAGCTTAGCAATATGCTAATGCAACATTATTTTACGCTTTGAATGTGTTATTTGGATGTCGTTAACTATATAGAGGGTTCTTAACGCATTTTGAAATTACAGTACAATTTACCTACTTAAAGGGTTAGTTAACCAAACAAAGAAAATGATCCGATAATTTACGCACCCTCGAGCCATCCTAGGTGTATATTACTTTCTTTTCATCAAACGATGTTAAAAAATATCCAGGCTCTACCCAGCTTTGTAATGGCATTACATAGTGCCAGAGTTTTTGAAGCTCCAATAAGTGTATCTATCCAAAATAAAAGTAACCTATACGGCTCCAGTGGGTTAATAAATGCCTTCTAAACCAAAGCAAAGGGTTTTTATAAGAACAATATCTATATTTAAATACAAACTATAATCACTGGCTTCAGGCAATGGCCGTACGCGCGTTCACAAGAGAGTTGAGTTTTGGCAGAAGGGTGACCTTGGGCACTAGGCAATGCCATTACAAATTTGGGAAAGAATAGTCCTAGAATGGGTTTAGGGCGAGTAAATTATGGGATCATTTTAATTTTTGAGTGAACTATTCCTTTAAGAATACATTTTTTCTTTTTATGAAGTAACTGAAACTCAAGATCCAAGAATGTGATAGTCAAAATAGCTTATGATGATGTAAGCTTAGCAACATGCTAACACAACTGCGCTTTGATTGTGCTACTTGTATGTTGCTGCCAAAGTAGAGGGTTCCAAATCAGTGACTTATAAAGTTAGTAATGCTGCCAATGTAGGCTATAAGAATGAGGGCAACACCTAGTTTTGGAACAGAATTTGTATCTGTGATTCTTTTAAAGCCTAGAATTGTGTTTTATAACTACATTTTACTGTATGCTTGATGCTTCAATAACTAACAATTTTCATATTGGTCGAAAGCATGTGTATTATTTCTTCAACATTTCTACCAAAAACATTTTTTTTTTTTAAAACTGGTGAACCTTTCTGCAAGTTATTTCATTATCATACAGTATATAGTAGTTGCTGTTCAACAAACCTGTCAAAGCAAACCCTCAACATGCCATGCTTCATGCCTCCCCACCCACACACACACACACACACACACACAGAGAACAACAAGAAGCTAGGGTGCACAGAACACATAAAAAAAGACAAAAGAGAAAGAGAAAGAAGGACAGCGAAAGAAAGACGAATAGAAAGACGCACATGGTCAGAGGTCTCTGAAGGCTGTCTACAGAGGCCTCTGGTAATGAGCTGGTCTGTACTGAGCTCAAGCTGGAGTTTTGGAACAGAGCGAAACGTTTTCTTCTGTCCATACCTCGCAAAATCCTGGCCAGCCATACTGGGACCCAGACCTTTGAAAATGAGACACAAATGACCAGTGTGAGCCACGCTGAGCTTCACGCCAACGGCAGAACGATCCAGAAAAAAAAAGTGATGCAATGACGCAGGTTTTAATAGACGTTTTACGTCAAAAAGAGAGAGAGAGAGAGAAAAGGAAAGGAAAAAGAAAGGGGTGAGTAAATGAGAGAAATAAAGAGAGTGAAGGAGGAGAGAACCTTCTTCATGGGTTGCAGGCGGGTCGCTCTCTTCTTTAAACTCCTCCTTCACGTCATCTTCTGATCCCACTTTACCTGGGCAGTGACATAAAGAGCTTTTAATAAACAGTAAAACAGATCAACTGTGGAGGATCACAACACAGAAACTAAGAGCAGCTCACCTTCCTTGACATCTTGTATGATCTCTTCAGGCAGCACGAAGCTCTTTTCTGAGTTTGGAAACGGGAGGATTTCTGATTCATGCTGCAACAACAAAATGTAATTTACCGATTAGCTTTGATGGTATTTTTTCCTCAGTGGAAATTGCAACAATAAAAAAATGAAACAATTCATATTTTCATAATTCATATTCACATCAGTCTTATTCTTATGTTAGTGTAGAAGGAGTCAAGCTGTTTGTTGTTAAGGAAAAAGTCTTGAAAGGTACATTTTTAGGCTGCTCTGCCTCAGCGGTCTGACAGCGCTCGTCAAAATGATCGAGATGGCCAATTAAATCAAAGGCGGTGGGTAATATCTTAATATCTTACTATCACTGTAACAACACAATGTGAGTTTAAGGAAAGATGCTAGTAGATTTAAGTATTAGACAACTATCACTCTAATGATAGAAACGTTCAGTGACCTACAGTAATAGTACCTAGTGATGTGAACTACGCAACTTATGAAATTTTGCCATTTTAATTGAAAATATGCGATCATGCCCCCCATACTTTGGCTATGGTCAGGGTCTTGATCACCCTACCACCAGGGTTTATTTTGTGAGAATTTTAGACCTTATATTATAGACTATGTAAGAGATAATTGAATTATAGAAGCTATAGGCCTATATCTCTAACTATGAGAAGCTGAATTGAACAATAACATAAACGTTTCATTGTTTTAAAGCCCTACAACTTCAATTCCAGCCTAGGAAATACTGTAATATGTCAACTGTGAATCCCAGATTTACACTTTTGGATCCCATATATAACATTTTATTATAATAATGTATATTGCATTCATTGAATTAATCTCATAAAATAGTTGGGTTGTCTCTTACCAGCGCTTGCATGTCATACATGGTGCTCAGGTGATCCCAGATGACTTTAGACGACACCTGCCTGCCGATGTTCTGACTGAACTTATCACGAATACAGATCATGTGGAAATGACGATTCACTCCTGAAGACAAAAGACAGTTTTCCAAAAGAAACTCACCTTCCAGCATAGAAAACACCTTTGTGTTGATGTAGATTAGCCTAGCCATTATGCTATCATGCTAGTTAGCAGCCGCGCTAGCATTTGCTAATATGTCAACAGATATAAACTAGTACATTACCTCCGTAAACACAGAATTATTCATTTTGTTAAATAGTCAAATTATATAATTCTCTGCAATAAAAAAGCCGTCGTAATTGTAATCGTTATATTAAATTGTCTTAAATAATTAGTAACGTTAAGCGATTGGACTCGATAAAGCTAAAGACCACTAAAACCCATAGATTAAAATGCTTCAGTATTTTACAATATGTTGGATTTTATAAAAAAAACGTATAATCGATTTTAGAGCTTTAAAAGGCAAAAAGGAGCACATGGTGCTTATTTATTATGTTACATTGTTTCACGCCTGGGGTCCATACACAGAGATCGGGCCTGTTATTCACATCACTCATAAATAAATTCATCTTACCTACGGGTTTGTGACCCAACATGGCGTGAAAAAGACACACTTCTACTTCTTGACTCCATACTATCGATTCATCGGCGGTACAGATGCCGGTTTCTGCTTGTTTTTCGTCGGATGGCACAGTCTCAGCCTCCCCCATGTTTCTGCACTGAGTCTGACACACTCGCAGATGAGAGTGAAATGCCTCAGTCACTGCTGCAGATCTTCATCATCACAACCATCATATTATTGCGTGCTTTCATGAAGTGTCCACTTACATGCTTTGAATCACACACACACTCACTCACCATCTCTCTCTCACACACACACACACCCAGTCAATCAATCACTCACTCTCACTTCTCTCTCTCTCACTCTCACACACACGCCATAATGTTGGCATTGTATATTTTATCGTTTGTTTATATAGTAGTTTTAATATAAACAATAAAAATATACATTGCATAAAATCAAGGTTTGCACTTTTATTTCATTATTTATATACCTGAATGGCACTCTTTTTTTTTCTTTTACAGGGATTTATTTTGAATTGTTACTAATATTGTTCATTTTTATTTCTTTGTAACATTTAACTCTTTAGATCAGAATTACACTCTTTTGCTTACATGGTTTTGTTATGACTTGTTATTAATGTTGTTAATTCTCTGCTATTCATTTAATATGCCATGAATCCATAGACACTAATAGTAATCGGACAATATTTGCTAATTTAGTATTTAGCAAAATGTGCTTAAACTCTTGTTGCTGGATAATGCCATTAAATATTTTTTTTTATCTAGTATATACTGTATAAAAAAGTTTTAATTCATTTATTTGATTAAGTTTACATCACCTCTGAATGAAATGTTATGAGCCTTATACCTCATCATAACCAGGAGACAAATATCCATCAACAAACAAATTTGTTCACGTCGAAAACAAAATATCTGCACAGCACAATTATAGCCAACGAGAACATATTTGATGTTTAATATGCAGTAACGTGGTGCAGAGTTTGAACCAATAGGATTTCACCATGGGTGGGACATTGGAACGCCTCAGGAAAAGAAACCAAGTGATGCACAAAATGTAATTTTGCTCGTCGCATTTGTTAAAAAGATTTACATTAAAGAGATTATTGTATTGCTTCATTGTGTCACTACTGATTAAGAAACACTGTATCACTAGCATGTCTAATTATTAGGCATTGGATGATTCTGTAGTCAATATTGGCAATGACCACTGAAAAACCCATATTGCTGAACCACTTATATATAAAATACAAAAACTTTATTGAAACTTTTTTGACCATGATTCCAGAAGTGGGAAATGCCTCTGGAACATTACGCCAAGTGCAAATGAACAAGAGTTTAAAGCAGTGGTTTCAGGCACAGTCGTGAATCACGCCGCAGGCGGGACAGTTCCACTGCTCGTCGTCCACCGGCTCATGCGTGCGCCTGCACGGCAGATCTGCAGACGGAGCTTCACTGAAGGAGCTCTTAGAGAAGCTCACCCACTCTCCGCTGACGGTGACGCCGTGCGCCCGGCACAGCTCGGCCGCCAGCGGGTCTTTGAGAGAGAGGAGGCGTGCCAGTCTCTGCAGAGGGTAGCGGCAGTTGCGGCTGCTGTGCCCGTGGCTGTAGAGCAGGAGCAGGTCTCTCCTGCAGGGCAGCAGGTGTCGGTGGACGGCACAGACCTGGATGAAGTCCAGTCTCTGGGCTAGCCGGAGCAGCCGAACCGGGTTGCGCTCCGAATGTGCCCTGTTTACGGCCAGAGCAAGCTGAACTGCAGGAGAGCTGCGTATTCTCTCGGGCAGCTCAAGAACATGTTGAAGGGTATGAGTTGAACCTGAAAGCATGAAGAAAAGATACAAATGTTTATCTGTTCTCTATTAGAACTCCATTTTTACACTTGAGAGCAACAAAGTAAATTATGGTAATGTGGAATGTGTGTGGAAATATGAAAATAAATGAGAAAAAAATACTAGAGTCAGTGTTATTTTAGTATTATTTAAATACAAATTAGTGTTATGAAGATAATTTTGAATTAGCTTTAATTATTTTAATTTTAGGTTACTCTTTAGTATTTTTCTAATATGCTTTCGTTATATATATATATATATATATATATAGGTTTTTTATCTATTGTTTTTTTTTTGTTAAATTTCATTTAGCAATATTAGTACTACACCTTAAATTATAAACTATTATCTATTTATAATTTTGTATCCATTTATATTTTATCTTATTTGATCTTTATTTCAATTAACAAAATATTTTTTTATAGTTTTAGTTAGTTAACGATAACAATACACCCAATCCCATTTCAAAATTTTTTTTGCTGCAAACTATTATTCATTATTCAAAAAAAAAAAAAAGTTGTAATATTCAGGATATTGAAAGGTAGTGAACCTTTTCAACTTTTTCTAAGAGTAAAAGTATTTTCAGCATATGAAGGAGAACTATAGGCCCATTTAATTTTTTTTCCATAATCAAAAAGCAGGTCTAATTAATTGAATTCATATTTATTCTTTAATATATATATATATATATATTATTCAGGATTCATATTTGTCTTTTTGAGGTTTAATATTCAAAGACACTAGTCTATATACGGAATTGATTTAAGTGTACTGACCTGCTTTTTATTTCTTCATCAAAAAAATGTGACAAATGTTATACAGTAAATTCTGTATTTATGACATTTCCCACATCATGAAAATCATAGGTCCTAAAAATATTGATTTTACCAGTGGTAGAGCCGCTGGAACAGCTTACCCCAAAGCATCTGACACAACTTACCCCACAACTAGCATTTTTGGGAAAATGCTTAAATGTCTATAATAATTTGTAGCTAATCCTTAACCAGATCATTTACATGGTTTTGTACATTAGCAGTTTGCCATACATGGATAAATTTGCATGGACATAAAATTTGACCTGTAATGCATAAAATTTGACATTAATTTGACATTACAGTTTTTAGCATTTCTCCCAGGCTGCTGTACATGATGGACCCTAAAAATCGAACTATATGGTCCCAAGACTAAAAAATAATACAGCTCACCTGACACATTCTTCCCCATTCTCATACAATTTATAATTTTAGTCATACATAATCCGGTCGGTATGGAATAAAATGTCAAAACTCATCATTGAAGAAGCGCTAATTAAATGTTGCTGTTTCTGTGATGTTTTCGGCTGAAAAGTTCAGATAAAATATTTTTAGCCAAAGTTTCTGTGCATCATTAATTATACTGTTGTTATAATATAATTATTGTTTGGGTTTTATTTTTTATTTTTTGTTGTTGTGTTGTGTGTGTCCGGTGTACGCACAGTATGAGATGAACAAACTAAGTCAAGGCAACCACTATAATAAAAACAATATACTGATACTAACCAGCACTGAGACTAACAGTTTCCACTCACTCACTCACCCAAGTTATAGAGCAAACTCAAGGCCTGGAACTCCTCTTGATGCCGGTGTTTCCCATCTCTGTAGTTCTCCAGCAACCAGCTCAAGCTTTCCTGGAGGTGAGTGTCATTGATCCGCGGGTCATAATACTGAAGTGGCTGCCCGCAGAGTCTGTAAGAGGCGTAGAGAAGGAATCGCACGCTTTTCTCCAGCACAGCCACACAGTCCGGCCCCGACACACGCTGGATAATCATGTCCTGCCGAACGCTACGCAGGCGGTCAGACACGAAACTGTACACCTGTGGATCAGAACGTAAACAAGACAGGCTTCAAATGCCCATCATATTACACATAAAGATGACAAAATGCAATTTACAAACCTCCGTCCATGGCTGAAATGTAGAGGAAGCTGCAATGTCATCAACTAAATAGCACACAGTCTTTAAAAGCACAGACGGAGGCCGGAGGTCACTGGCTCTCGTGGAGTCCTTCCCAGCGGCAGGTCGCGAGTACTCTTTGACAGCACGTGACACATCAGCACGAGGTAAGCGATCCCGCTCTGTGCCGGCCAACATCTCAAACCTGTGCAGTCGATTCTGGGCCTCCCGCTGGCGTAATTCATAGGCAGGGCACATAGTCATACAGGCGCCGCTGGGCACCGAGTCTTCAGCTTTCTGCTCAACCGCTCGCTCCCTGTTCGGTCGACCCTGCTCCTTATGCCTGTGTCCTCGACCCCTCCTAGAGTGATGCCACCTAAACACACACATATACTGTACATATTATTTCAATTTAAAGTAGCTGTTTTCTACTGTAAAATTTTTAAAAATGTAATTTATTCCTGTGATGTCCAAGCTGAATTTTCAGCATCATTACTCCAGTCTTCAGTGTCACATGATCCTTCAGAAATCATTCTAATATGAGGATTTGCTGCTGCTGCTTCATCAACAGTTGTGTATTTTGTGGAGACATATACATTGATACTTTTTATTCAGTAAGGACACATTACATTGATCAAAAGTGACAGTAAATACATTTATAGTGTTACTAAATATTTCTATTTCGAATAAATGCTGCTGATGCTCTTTTGAACTTTCTATTCATCAGAGAATGGAAAAATATATTTATTTCCACAAATAGGCGAACTAACCAGTAATTAACCAATTGACTATTAATTATTTAGCATACAATTGATAAAAACAGCATCAAATCAGCATATTATAATGATTTCTGAAGGATCATGTAACACTGAAGACTGGAGTGATGACGCTGAAAATTCAGCTTTGGTCAGAATGAATTACACTTTCAAATATATTCAGATAGAAAACAGCTCTGTTACATAGTATATATAGCATATATATGTGAATATATAAAAATGTTGAATTATTGCAAAAGGCGGTGAATCATCTCTTGTTACGTTTCTAGTATTGCACAGGTCTGTAAGATGCTAACTGCAACTGAGCAATTATTGTCTATTTATTGACAATAATTTATCTCTTTTAAGATTCAAAACTAGTTATTTCCAATAAACAGTCTTGTCATGAGTAAGATGTAGTAATCTGCTAACGTTACTAGTTAACGTTTTGTGCTTTTACTGTTGGCATCAGCCCTGTTCTAACAAAGACGGTTTCTGTCTGCGGATACTCTTTGTATCAAACGGGTTTTAGTGAAACTTTTAAAGTGGTATGTAAATATAATACGTTCCTGTCATATATAGTCATGCATTAATCAAAATAAAAACAAGCTTTTGGAAGACTCACGCGTTACTCATGGCTGTGTTCATTGGTCGTGCCTGTAGTTGATCACATGATCACAACTGCTCCTACGTCACTTGCCGTAAAGACCATAGATATGTATATAAAGGCTAGATGTGTCGTCAGCGCTGCTGGCCAATGGAGGTCGTCGTCTGCACCTGGCGGCCATCTTGTCTCAGGCAGCTCGCTCACTCGTAACATTGTGGTAATGGTACATGTACTATTTAAATAACCATAACTTGCTCAATTTTCTACCGATTTACAAACGGTTTGGTTTGTTATAAACGTCAGAGATGTAGCTACTACACTGCATACTTCTGAATAAAAAGTGTATAAATAAATAATCATCCAGATAATTATAGCCACATTAATAACGTTTGTAAGAAACCAAACCGTTTGTAAATCCGTCAAGATTTCAACGAGATAAGAGTATTTGTGTTCATGCTGACCACTCATCTTACATCAGCTTGTCTGTGACAAGATGGCCGTCGGTGATGACGATAGAAACTCCGCCGTAGCACATCTAGCCTTTATATACATATCTATGGTAAAGACATTCCCGATTGGTCGTCTGTTTCTTTGACACTGTACGTCAAATCCGCTTACATTTTACACATATAAAACTGCGTGCACGTCATGTATAACATGATAAACAACGTATAAGTATAAATAACGTACTTATCCTGGGTATACTATACATATACGTGTATATCTGTTTAAATAAAACGACAAAATGTTTATGAACATACAAAATAAACTGCAAATTTACTGCAAAATTATTTCTAGATAAAAGCTGCAGAGATTCTATTCATGGATTTACTTCTTGTTAAGTCCTACAGTCTATGGTAAAAAATCCATCAACTTTAAAATACACAAAATAAACTTTTAAAGCATTCACAGTATCCTTTTGAAATAGGGCACACACACATTAGTATGGTTGTTTTTTTTTTTTGTTTTTTTTTTGGAAAAGTGTGTCACATATCTGATCAACCTAGATAATAAAAATCAACCATAGTAATGACTACAAAATCCCCCTCACAAGTCAGTTCAAGGTCCCAGGTATTAATGTTAGGTGTAAAGGACTTTAAAGTTATTGATTAAATCAGTATGGTCTCAAATATTTCTCTCTCTATGTACATATACACATTGATAATGTTTGGTGTGTTGATTTCAATTTAAGAATTTAGACAAAAACAAATCCAACAGAAACCTATCAACTTCTCTTAATTTTATTTGAATCAATTTGTAATATAAATATGAATCACCGTTGTTTTTCCTAATAAAATACACACCATCACCAGACCTATGAATATGTGACAAATACCTTAAATCCTGCTTCAGTAATGTATGAAATAACTACCTACAATTCATTGATTATTCACATTCTTTATTTCATTGTAGATAGACGCCTTAATTATACAGCATATCATGCCCTGGAGGGGCAGAAGAGTGTCTGGGCCGTGCTCCGTCCGATCTGGCCTTCCTCCAGTGACTGCTGGACCAAAACGGTCTCCCGGCTTACTAATGAAGACACCTCCAGAATATCAGAAAAGGTCCTACAAGAAAATATGAAACAGCAAAGTAAGTTAAAATATAGTCTATGAAATAAGGACTTCACAATGTGCAAAGTCTTTCATAGTTTATGGAGACTGAATTGCTCTTACCTTGTCAACTGCTGGCTAATTTCATTTGCTGTATTTTTCATCTCTCCAAGACACTCTGTTAAAGCCTCACAGTCAGTGGAAATGTCCTTTGTACAGTGTTGCAAGAGTCGCTCGCTCTGACTCAGACATCCGACCGCTTTGTCTGTGTAAGACAAATATTTTCCATTAGATCTGATTGGAATTATTCAAAATCACCAGTTGGATTCAAGGCGCATGCACACTGACCAGTCATTTCAATCCCTCAATAACACACAATGTCTTGTTTTTAATGACTTCACGTTCAACAATATAACATGTTTAACAAAGACATACCCCAAAATTGCACAATATATAAATACAAACATCATAAAATAATATGCTGAGCAAATCTCACCTAAAAACTGCTCCGGGTCCTCTCCAATGTGCACATTCTTCACAGGAAGCTTGTGTCTCGTGGCATCAACGGCTTGAGCAAATGACTTGTACTCCTCTGCAAATGTGTTTGCTGCAGCAGCAACAGGAGTTAAAGCCTCTATCTGCATAAAAAAGGGAACTCAATTGTGAGATGCGATAACATTAAGATTTAAGCAACCGAGTTAAATGTGTGACGATGACCTCACCTGTACGTCCAGTAAACTGTTGAGTTCTTTCTGCTTTTCCAGCAGCAGATACTGTCGTTTCTTTTGGTTAACTTGAGCTCTCAACTGCTGCTCTTTCTCCATGACGGCCAAAATATTCCTCTCAGCCTCCTCTCTCATTTTCCGGGTATTATGTTCAATCTAGAAAAAAAAACAAAAAAAAAAACATTATCAAACAAGGGCTTTACAATGAACTATTTTGGATTAATATGCTCAATATTTGTTTATGCTCTAAATGCAGTAGCCATTTCACCTGACCAATCAGAGCAGAGTAGATCACCACCAATCACAACAAACTGGGTCATCTGACCAATCAGAGCAGACCAATTATGCTGTGTTCGAAATCGCCCCCTATACCCTCATTCACTATTCCCTACGTTACTCACTAGTATAGTCAACTTGAAGGAAACTCAACTGATTTTGTATCCTCAATATGTCCTGAGTAAGGAAAAAAAAAAAAGCCCAGAAGAATCCCATTAGGGGAACGTTTCGAAAAAGACCCAAATATATCCCATTCAACCCCATCTCTACAATAATAACTAATAACGGCTGGTTTCTAAAGTACTTCTTCCTGTATTAATGTTCATGGGTAGCCTCAATGGGTTCCATTCAGACCTTAACATTAAGTCTTTTACTGTTATATGTCAAAAAGATTCAAAAAAACATTTTCATCTGCTATATACCCAATGTTTAGATCTGTTTGGGTAATTATGCAAATTAGCGAATACGTAATTATATTATGCACCGTTTGTCCATGTTAAACAATTTGAAAAAAAAAACTTGTAATACATTTTTTTGTTTGTCTTGATGTAAGTAATCAACTCCGTGATTTCATGATGATATCTAAAGGTTAACATTTTTACCCTTTTCACGTGAAAAAGAATGAATATGCGAATGGGATATCTTTGGGTCTTTTTCTAAAATTCCCCCTAATGAGATTCTTCTGGGCTTAATTTTTTCCTTACTCAGGACATATTGAGGATACAAAAACAGTTGAGTTTGCTTCTGTTGCAATTTGTTCAAGGTTGGCCCCCCAATTTTGTCTTAAAATGACTGGACTAAATGAAATGTTTGTATTGCAAGGATGTAGATATGTGGATTTGGGGATATATATCTGTGTGTGTGTGTGTGTGATAATATATACAATACGCATATGCACTAGACTGAGCATATCTGAATGTGTACTGTAGTAGTAGCACTACATAAAATTAATAGGGGTGATGAAGCATGGTGTGGAGTAGACAACGACAACTGGTGTAAATGCACAAGCAAAAATATATATATTTTTTTTTAAAAAAAGTAAAAGCATTACTTTTTGAACAAAAAAAAAAAAAATCAAAGGTTAAGTTGTGTCATCTTCAATAACTATATTGACAACATTAGACCTTAGCAGTGATGAAGGCCAGCAAGAACGTCTCCATCGCCATGTCCCTTTCTTCATTCTTGGGGTCCACTGTGCCTGGCACCACAACTTTGTCTGGAAAAATTAAACTGGTTATGCAAGCCGTGAAAACAACCGTTAAAACATAATCGCATTACTGCTTTACTCCAGTCGACACGAGTACCACACCTTTAATAACCGAGACATCTAAATCTGGACGTATGCAGTGGCCGTCCAACACAGTCGACTGAAAAACATTTCCTCCCAAATTCGAGGATTCCAGAATGCTGGAGGCCACTGTGGGAAAACATCACATTCATCAGTCATCAAGTCATTCATATAATAAAATAAAACCTATACAACAACTGAACTAGTTTAACCAACACAGAGATCATATGCAGATAGTGAATATTTAACCTGACATATCTGCAGCTGAGCCCAACACTCACAGGTAGAGTCATTGAATGGCAGAGTGCTTAGTGTACGTCTCGACAGGACACCATCCCTCGGCTTTCGTGTACTGCCCGTTCTGGGAGAGGACGGTCTGGGTGGCATCAGTATCGATTGCTGCTGTACACTGCTCTACAGAACACACACACCATATAAACAATAAACCTTGATATTGTTTTGAAATGACAGAAAACAGACACAACAACACAGATGTCAAGATTTAGTATTGAAACATATTATTCCTTTTATTTTTGGAATCAGTTACCTTCGCAGGAGCCTTTGTTTCGGTTTGCATATACCTAGACTTTACAATGGTCCCCGACGCTAAAAACCAAGATCAGATGAAACAGTCAGAAATGGCAGTATAATAACATTAATGAGTTATGAGAAGTTGTAAGTTATGCTCTTACTTTTGGTTTTCCTCCTCGCACCACTGTTATTTCCACCACTGACTTCATTTTCGGTGGATAAACTGAAAAACAGAGGCTGTCTGAATATTTGCATTCATGAAATCGACAATAAGTGTGTATATGAACGCACTGATGACCTATGAAGACTGAAGGAACAGGCTGCCAAAAACACGTCGACTGACAGGGAACACGTTATCATTTCATTGGGAACGAATGCAATGATTTAACAAACATTTTATGGTCATATGCCCTCCACAGACGATATATATATAAAAAATACATCAATAATACCACTTAAGAGTGATTGCTATTATGATATGAGTACTTTTAATCAACATTGAAAAAAAAAAATCACCTATTGCACCTTTAAAGAATAAATTTCAACTGTTTTGTAAAATTAGTATCATGTGAATTGGACTTTGACTCATACTTCAGCTTATGTAGCAGAAACAGAGATATCACATGTCTTTTAGAAAGTATATTAGACAAAATTAAGTTAATTCATATTTAGTAGTAGTAATAATAATAACATCTTATCAAGCCCACTTAAGTTAGTTTCCTTTTTCAAGTCGATAGGTTTATTCATTGTCATTTTCAAAACAGAGCGTCTAGTGGCCCACATTATTTGAACATATATTTATATAAATAAATTAGATAATTTTTACTTATATTACCTTAACTATTAGTTTACAGGATCAACACTGGCCACTGAGTAAGGCTAATACACATGACACTTAACGGACACAAATAACGCAACAAGTTTTATTTGTGTACATTATACAAGCAAGTTCATAATTCAACAGTTGACAATGAAATGATTTAGAGATTTGAACTTGAACTAAAATATAAAAACTTACTTTTTTGAGTCACTTGAAGCTAATTTCTCAAGTTTACGTATATTTACCGGCAGCTTTTTAGATGCCATTTTGTTAAAACACTCAGAATCGGATCGAAGTCTGTTGTGATGTTTTTGTAAAGTAACCCCGCGTTTTATCGATTGTCTTCCTCTGTGTGCTTGAAGCGCTAACATGAGTTGCGTTCAGCGCCACCTCTCAGCCTGGAGTGTAAACACACACACACACACACACACACACACACACACACACACACACACACACACACACACACACACACACACACAATAAATTACAGTCATTCTGCGAATAGTTTCGCATTTTTCCCTGTAACTTACATCACAAAATGACTTTTTCCTCAATTTTAATAAATCACTTATGAGTGATTAACTTCCTGAATTTTAAAACATTTTGTAATAAAAATCCATGATAGTTTTGACGTAATAATAATATGTAGCTTTAATATCTTCGAATCATATATTCTTATATTCGGAATTCAATGTGTGCCATACATGACGGTTAAATTAAAAACAGTTAACGTTACAAACGATTAGTATGCCATGATATACGAAATAATTCAGAATTAAAAGTTAAACAGAAATGCACCAAGCAAAAATGCACATATCTATACATAAATGTATTATGAAATACATCTTTATGAAGGTATGTTAAACGTTTTTTCCTGTTTTCTGTTGTCAGTTGTCAAGCGCGCGTCCGAGAGTGTCCGTCCTCTTCTTCTTATGGACAGGGACCAACTCCCAAATCCCATCCTTGTTTACACCGCTCCTTTTCTTTATTTGCACGTAGAAATGATTTATCCAGCACCATGAAGAGCTGATCATATGTAGTTTAGAGGTCTATAACTCGGGTAAGTTGAGTTATCCATGTTTCATACGTTTGTTCATCATTTTGGAGTTGAAATGTTAGATTAGCCATAGTTAGCAAGAAAAGTTCCCCCTTAAACTTGGTGTCTGACAATAACTCGTAGGGCTGCTTATTATGTGTGAATTTAAGTGATGGTTTTGTGTAATTATTGTAACATTTCTACACATTTATAAGTTGTAGAAGTTATGCTGATTAAGCGCGTTGTTATTATTAGCACGTAGCAAAGCTAACGTTAAGAGTTAATAATTCACTTTCTGCAGTCGCTGCTCCCACTTTATGGATGTTTTTGAAAAGTTTCTCCAGTTGTAAATGACGAAACGTGATAAATATAACTTGTTTAAATGCTTATTATATGGAAAACCTTAAATAGGCTGTAACTCATGAGTGTGTATGTGCATAATGTGTTCACAAATGTATCTAACGCTAAATAAGAATGACGTTTGTTTTTACCATAGACTTAAAAAAAAGGTTTTTATTCAGATTTCTTCCATGGAAATTATAGAAATTCGATGCGGTTGTAAGGCTCTTTTCACCAAACCCTTCAATAAATAATAAATATTTGTGTGACAGATCAGTTTCCCTGAAAGTTTGCTCTCACGTTACACAGCTCAATGAAAGATCATGAGAGGTTTGAACTTCAGTGTTTCCATTGCTGCCTTTAGACTGTCAGCTGGCTTGTTTGACATATGGTTTTGCATGGCATTAAACCATCTGCCATAAATGTAACGCCATGATTTGAATGCACATTATATTCAGGAATCCTTCTCATTTGTGCTCATCAGGGTTGGAGCAAAGCTGGGATGGCCTCTAAACTATTCGACAGACTTCGCCGTACACTGTTCAAAGAAGGGGAGCTTCCTTCAGAGACAGACGGCCACCGAACGGATGACTTTCCAGAAAGCTCCGAGCTTGAGGATGACATGGACTGCGTGTCGGCCAGGCTAGGAGGGACCCTGTGCTTCGAGGGTGATGGGGTCCTGGACTCTGAGGATCCGGGAGACACGTCGGGACCAGACAGTGACTCTGACTTTTTTGGAGAGTCCATAGATAATGCATGTAGCAGCACAGGTAGTTCTCAATAATGCCTATCTTATAATAAGCTAACATATTATAATTTGGTCGTGTAACTGTAAAGGACACTAAGATTGTTTATGTTCTTCAAAGAAGTCTCTTGTGATTGCTAAGGGTGTGTTTATTTAATCAAAAATACAGTAAAACAGTAATATTGCTAAATATTATTATTACAATTTTAAATGACTGTTTTCTGTTTCAATATATTTGTAACTGTAATTTATTCCTAAAATGGAAAAGCTGATATTCATCACTAGCACTAGCATCACTACTACAGATCCTTTAGAAATCATTCTAATATGGTGATTTGCTGCTCAAAAAAAATTCTTATTATTAGCAATGTTGAAAACTATGGAAGTTTGTTTCTGCCATGGAATAAAACCAATCTAAAAGATAATTGCATATTTTTTTTATTTATCCCACAATTCTGACATTTTTTCTCAGAATTCTGAGATATAAATTGTCAATCGCGAGTTATTAAGTCCAATTCTGAGGGAAAAATCAGCTCTCAATTCTGACATTTCTAACAATTGTGAGTAAATATCATGCTGTTCGACTTTGTATTTCGAAATTCTGACTTTTTTCTTGCATTTGCGAGTTAATATCCCACAATTCTAATTTTATAATTCACAAGTGGGAGTTTATATCACACAATTATGGGAAAAAAATCAGAATCGTGAGATAAAAAGGTCACTATTTTTAGTATTATTATTATTTTTTTTTTTTTTACATTTTATTCCCTGGCACTGGCAGAAACATGCTTCCATAGAAAACGGTTAGATTGATGTTGCAGATAAAACATTTTCAGGATAATTTTTAGAAACCTTTTTAACATAAATGTATACAGACATTTAAGTAAATTTATTTGCATCCTCTCGGAATAAACATTTTAATTTCTTTAAAACAAAACCTAATTTATGGATTTATAATGGTATAATTTAATTAGAAGTATGTATATATATATATATATATATATCACATTCCTTCTTATATATATAATCCCATTCCTTATTCTGCATATTTATGTTGCCAAATGATTTGGACACATGGAAAACTAGGTTTTGGTGACTATCACGACTTCAGTTGATTTACATTTAAACTTTTTTAATTTTTTTGTTGATTTAGCTGACAATTGTTTTTCCCCAGCTCCTTACAATTGAAATAAAGACTTGTATTATAGCACATAAGTTGAATGAACCACTTTGATGGTGTATTATTTTTGGAGCTTGACAGTTTTCTATGAACTGCTATTGTATGGAAAAAAGAGTTTGCATGGAAACCCCCCCATTCTTTTAGAAACATTATTTGGAATAAGCTCTTCCTTTAAACTTAAGCATATGTACATGGTGTTTGTGAACTTGCAATGATCTATTTGTAGGCAAATTTCACTTCTTCTTTTTAGTTCACTTTTAGTTGACTTGATATTTGACTTGATATCTGTAGTTAATTTTTTCTTTGCTTTATAGAGACCAGCCCAATAGGACCTTCCCCCAAAACCTCAAATATGATCACCAGACAACTACAAGAAAACTACAAGAGCTCAAGAACTCGTTGCATTCCTGAAAAACTCATTTTTGAGGTGACCGATGCCAGTGTTGTCCATGATACAAATTCCAAGTATGTGGTAAGTACACAAGACACTACTGTGAACCATTTCAATCATTTTTTAGCAACTTCAGAACACATTACATATTTATACAAACATTCAAAACACCATTTTATATATGGGCCAATGATAATTTAATAATATTGTCTAAATAAAAGTCATTTTACATGACTTTTCTTTTCTTAAAGTTATTGTGCACTCGAATCATTTTTTCAGACCAGACGGCCAGCCAAATTTTGGATTAATAAATCAAAAGTAGGACTGTACACTTTATCAAATTGCGTGCTGGGAATATTAAAGATATTTAAATGAACTCTGTATGAAGCATGGGGTTCCTTACTCAACTCCAAAGAACCTTTTATGATTAAAAAGGTTCTATAATGACAAGAAAGAACCCTTTTGGCATAAAGGTTCTCTATAGGCTATCACTCCTAATTATTCTGCAACATTTGATGGTTGTAATTAAATTATTGTTTATTAAACTCTTGTAGTAACTTAATATCACATTTTAATCATGCTGATTTTTGGAGGAGAAAAACTGAAATGGCACTCTTCGTGTGATATTGATTAACTACATAAAAAATATAAATATATACATTTTCTAAACCCCATATCTTAAATTATGTGATCATTCACATGCATTCATAAATACATTTTAGGGTCTTGATGTTTGTCAATAATATGAAATATTTAATCCTGAAAGGACAAAACAAATATCCATATAGAATCTTTTTCCTGGTTGCAAAGAACCTTAAAGGGTTTTTGTATTATTGAATCCTTAAAAAGGGTTCTGTATAGAACATTTTGGGGGTTACAAATAAGTAGCGCTGATAGAACCTTTTAAGGTACATTTTTTTAAGGTTAACCTTTTTTGTGTACATTTTAGTTTAAAAGATTATGCAAATATTTTAATCATGCGTTATTCCTCATTATTATATCAGGATAGTATAATCACATTTTTTTTTTTTTAATTTATGCCCCAAATTCCGAAATTAAAAACATCCTCATCATTCGTTCACTGTGTGTGCATGAACTGCATTTTTAAAGTATTTTCGGGGAAAAAACAAGCGTCATTTGGTTTTGTTTCTCTGGTTTCACATGAAGTCACATACGCTTTTTCTCATCAGCTCTACACGATTCATGTCATCCACTCTGGCACATTTGACAAAACTCCCGCTGTCATCACGCGGCGCTACACTGACTTCGAACGGCTACACAGCCGCTTGCGCCGGCGACACGGAGACGAGATGGATGGCGTCCACTTCCCTCGCAAGAAGCTGCGCAAAAACTTCGCCGCCGAGACCATTGCCAAGCGCAGCCGGGCGTTCGAGCAGTACCTGACCCACCTTCACTCCCTCCCCGAACTACGGACCACGCCTACGTTCCTCGAGTTCTTCTACCTGGGGGATCTGCGCGCTGGCCAGATGCTGATGCGAGTGGGCCGTTACCAAGATGCCCTGGGGCCTCTTCTCAACTCTCTGAGACTCCAGGAGAAGTTAGGATGCCATCAGATCCTGCAGCTCAACCAGACGCAGAGGGTTCATTGGTTCTTCACGCTCTCCGCCTTGGTCATCTGCTTCCAAGAGCTGGATCAACTCGGTGAGGCTCAGGAACACTGCGACCGAGCCCTGCAGGATCTAGCGCCTTCCCAGGAGGCTCTACAGCAGCACCAGTTTCACCCTCTGCTCATCCCCCTCCTGCAATCCAACGTCAGGCTGTCCTGGAAGATCTCGAAGGACAAGAGGCGCTGGGAAGCTCTTCTGCTGGAGATCCAGGAGCAGGGGATTGATCTAGGGACCCAGCCCAACCTGAAGGAGTGTCTCATTAAAGAGAGCATCGAGGACAGCGAGGGGCTGGTCAGGGCTAAGAGCAAAAGTGAAGATGTCCCATAAGCATTTAGGATTCTTTATATATATATATGAATATGAGGGATGTTTCTGAAAGCAATATGTAAGATTAGGTCACTAAAGGAACCTGTGGAATTAATATTAACTCTACACTTTAAAACACAAGGGCACATTTCAATTGGGTTTATCAGCCTTATTCTTGAATTGGTGACACTTTACAATACGACTCAGTTTGTTAACATTACTTAATGCCTTACGACTTAAGTATTATGAATTAACGACAAACACTACTTTTAAAGTTAATTTCTAAAATACACTAAAACAATTCTAACATTTCAAGACTAATTGTAACAGTATGAATTAACATTAGTGATTAATGAGTTAAATTACAGCAGTCAACCATTGTGTAATTATTACATTCACATGGATTAATAAATGCAGTAATAATTGTGGTTTACTCTTAGTTCATGAGACCTAATGCATTAATAAATGTTAACAAATTGAACTTGTAAAGTGCTACACTATTATTATTATTTTTTTGTATCCTGTTCATATTTCATTGGGAATCTGGTTTTGGTGTGACACCAAGAACATTTCTTTGTAGCCGTCATGAATTTCACAGATGCAACACTTGTCTTGTTCTATAGGGGACTTGAATCAATCAGCCTTCATTTCAGCACCACTATCACACATTATTTCAAGTGGACATGGGAAAGTGTTAAGCGAGGCTGTCGACTGCTAAATGATGCAGTATACATTCGTAAAATAAAGGGAATATCCACTTTTGGTGTATATTATAAATGAAATAGTCGGATACTTTAAATGGTAATGCTGTAAAGTACAGTTTTAAATGTATGTTTTGTTACTGAGCTTAAAGTGATTTTAAATAACTCTTGTATAAATCTGTTTATATCTGCAGTGCAAATAACACTACAAATGTTTTAACAGATTTTTTTAATGTAATTCAAAGGATGCCTTTATATGTCATAGACAGCCTTTTTATTGAATGATTTTGAATATATTTAGAGAGCAATATCATTCTTTTAATACTACATAGTTATTCGTTTCAAAAAGGATATTTTTAATGTCTGAGCCCAATCTTTTTTGTAAAATCCTGCATTGTTTTACAAATTGTTGCACACAAACTCAGATATATTTGTGTACTGGTTAAACAGATTACGTTTTTTGCTCTGTTTCTTACTAAATTTGAATTTGAATATATTTATTTATGTGTTAAATTATGTGTTGTTGAGTATAGTTTAAACATTAGCAGCATAATATACTCTGCACAACTCGAGATTGTTAATTTTCCTCAAATTTTCCCATATAAGAAAAAATGCATTTTGGCTAAAACGTCTTTACAATAAATAAATGCTTCCTGGTTTTTTATTCAAATTTTGTATTTCAAATGGTTTTATGCACTGGAATTATTCAAGGAAAATCCATTTCAATTTACAGTATATCAATAAACTTTTGTCACTAGTCTCATGTTCTTCAACTGCTCATTTTTATACTCCTGCCATCTAGTGGTCATATATACAACACCATTAGATGCACAATTTTTGATTACTGTGTTAATGCATTATCTGTTTCAAAGCAATGTACATAATATACTGTATATCCTATGCCAACAACAAGCATAACTCCTACCAAGCATTTATTTCTGTGTACCTCATCCACCGAGGAAACGCCGAACAGCTTTCTTTCTTTCAATATTCTTCATGGGAGAGCAGTTTCCATGCACAAATGAGGGGTTTCCAATCAGTTTCGGGAAAAAATTACAGTTCCAGATTAGTTCCAGATTTCGGTAGTGTCCAAACTGGTGAACCCACTGACGAAAAAAAACTTTCTGGTGGGATTGTATTGGATATAAATAAATCAAACAAATATGTGTGGGGGATTCAAAACATTGCAAGCATGCATACGAGTTCAGATCATCCCGCCTCAAACTCACGCCATTGGTTGAGTGCTAACTTCAAGTTTTCTGATTGGCTTACTGACGTATGATCATATACTCATATACTTTCTCGTTCTGAGAAAAGTATGATGTCTTTGAGTATTTTTTATAATAACATTTGATAGACTGTATAGCCAGCATTATTTTTTTTTTTATGTCAGCTGATGTTTTGATGGTAGTTTCGTCGTCCGTGAATACCTCGCGCATGGACCCTGTAAGATCTCTCCGCCCCTCCTCGCGAACTCACTCAGCAGCGCATTTTCTTTCTTGCAGAGTTCATTGTGATTGCAGGTCGAAAGGATGACAGCCCGAGTGTATTGCACTGTGTTATTGTGTCTGGCTGGATACTGGAGCTCAACAGAAGCTGCTCCAGGACGAAACTTCACAGGTGAGAAGAAGATCCATGTTCTTAACTTCATACGGAGCCCGAAGAAATGCATTAAACAAGTGCCTTTCTCATTTTACAATTCTCAAACATACAGAGTATAGACGTCCAGTGAAAGAATAACTTCTGCATCAGTTAATTTTAAATAATTAATATAAAGGTATGCATATATAAATTGTCTGTACGAAATACACTGTACGAAAGTTAACTTTTATGTTTTATCTAGGCTATTAAATTATAGGCAAATAATGTGTGTGTATGTGTGTGTGTGTGTGTGTGTTTCCATTGTACAAGAAAAACATGCATAGACAATTTTATTTATATTTAACGTTAAAGGTACAATATGTAAGCATTTTGTATCAAAAGATAAAAAAAAACACTTGCAAAGTATATTTCTTTGAATTGAGTACTTACATTATCCTAAATGTGTCCAAGAATTTGTAAATTCTGAGAAATTCACAATTTTAAATTGTGAGCCTGTCGCTTGTCGCCTGTCAATGACGTATAATCCGCGTTATCCCTGGTTTCCATTTGTACTGCCATAGTAACCATGGTGTCAGATGTGGACAACTGCGTAATGTTTAGAGGCACGCTGTTGTTGTTTCCTTCAAAGATTATGGATCATGGCAAGGAGACTTTGGGACAAAAGGAGAACTAAAACGAGGATCAATATCAGATCAATATTGTGTTTTTGAGATGCCAAGAGCAAACTTTGACTTGACAGAGTCATGTGTAGGGCATGTGCTCTAAAATTATGGGTGTTCCCATACGAAGCCTTACATCTTATTACGAACAGCGGGTGCTGAGGATGGCTCATAAAATAATAGGAGATAGTACACACCCGCTACATTTGGATTTTGAGTGGATGCCCCTGCGACGATGTTTAAGGGCAATTAAATGTTCTACAAATCTTTCTAAATTTACTTTCATGCCTGAAGCAATACGGCTATGTAATAGACTAGGTGATTTTTAAAATTGTTATTATTATTATTCTTTATTTCTTTCTTTATTTTTTTCATGTATGTGCTAAGGGTTTTATGCGAGGCACCACTGTGTAGCTGAGGACCACCATGACAGAGCAGACTTGACAGAAGATCCCCACAGTGGAGCTGGTGACCACCATGGTGAAGCAGGCGTAACTGTAGAAAAGGGTACCGATAGGTTAGGGTTGGCTTCTTGGGCAAGACAGACAGAAAATTCAGTAATGGCCTCCATTGCCATAACAGAGCAGGCAGGACATCCAGGGGTAATGTCAATTCCAAAGTAGTCAAAATCTTTAATCGTGGCCTCCTCGACCATGACTCTGGAAATTAGAACTGGCATGGTGGAACTGGCATGGTGGCCATGAGAGTTGGAGACTCTGGGTGGCAGCCATGACGGGTGGAGACTCTGGCGTGGCGGCAATGATGGTTAATGATGGTTTGAGACTCTGACATGGCGGCAGTGGCGGTCGGAGACTCTGGCGTGGCGGCAATGATGGTTGGAGTCTCTTGGTGGCAGCCATCACGGTTGGACACTCTGGCATGGTGGTGGCAATGACGGTTGGAGACTCTGGGTGGCTGCCATGATGGTTGGAGACTCTGGCGTGGCGGCAATGACGGTTGGAGACTCTGGGTGGCTGCCATGACGGTTGGAGACTCTGGCGTGGCGGCAATGACGGTTGGAGAGACTCTGGCGTGGCAGCAATGACAGTTGGAGACTCTAGGTGGCAGCCTTGATGGTTGGAGATTCTGGCGTGGCGGCAATGACGGTTGGAGACTCTGGGTGGCTGCCATGATGGTTGGAGACTCTGGGTGGCAGCCATGACGGTTGGAGACTCTGGGTGGCTGCCATGATGGTTGGAGAGTTCTGGCGTGGCGGCAATGACAGTTGGAGACTCAGGGTGGCTGCCATGATGGTTGGAGACTCTGGCGTGGCGGCAATGACGGTTGGAGACTCTGGCATGGTGGCGGCAAAGACGGTTGGAGACTCTGGGTGGCTGCCATGATGGTTGGAGACTCTGGCGTGGCAGCAATGAAGGTTGGAGACTCTAGGTGGCTGCCATGATGGTTGGAGACTCTGGCGTGGCAGCAATGAAGGTTGGAGACTCTGGGTGGCAGCCATGACAGTTGGAGACTCTGGGTGGCAGCCATGATGGTTGGAGACTCTGGCATGGCGGCAATGACAGTTGGAGACTCTGGGTGGTGGCAATGATGGTTGGAGACTCTGGGTGGCTGCCATGATGGTTGGAGACTCTGGCGTGGCGGCAGTGACGGTTGGAGACTCTGGGTGGCGGCAATGATGGTTGGAGACTCTGGGTGGCGGCAATGATGGTTGGAGACTCTGGGTGGCAGCCATGACGGTTGGAGACTCTTGCATGGCGAGTACAGAGTGAACGTCTTGTGCCCCCTCCATGACACCCAAAGCAAATACGGATCCACTCAGCTGCAATGCCAGGATGACATAAAATCCTACAGTCCAACTAGGGTCCCACAGTGGCATGATCGAGCTGAGCGGCTCAGATACTCCCCCTATGGTTAGAATGAAATAAGGGTGTTGAAGGGGTTGGGATTACAATTATTTTGACTGATACAAGTGGTTACAACTTTTGTTACACACTTTGTAATATGACATTAATTGACACAGTTTAGTGTGAATAAGCTTGAGACTCAATTGCAAAACCACTGACTTAAAGATGCTGAAACAAACTATTTTAAACTAATGATGATCTTTCTTTAGTGGTCGATCACTGTCCGGGGAAGCTGATGGTCGTGCCGTCCAGTCGAGGATGTGTTTCTGATAGAGACTGCTCTGGAGGACACAAATGCTGTGTATTTGACTGTGGGGCTGTGTGTGTGCCGCCTGCTTTCAGTGAGTTTCAATGAGTAATGGATAATAATACCTGATGAATTCTTTCAAAAGAAATTGGTAATAAAGGTAAAAAATAATTTCAAGAAAACAGCAATTAACACATTGATT